CAATGTGGAAAAACATTCAGCAGGCCCAGCTCTTTACAAGTACATATGGAAACACACTCTGATGAGAAGTCCTATGAATGTAAGCAATGTGGGAAAATGTTTACGTTTTCCTCTTCCCTGAAACGACACTTACAACGTCATAGTGAAAAGAAACCTTATGAATGTAAAGAATGTGGGAAAGCTTTCAAGTTTCCCTCATACCTTGAATGCCATATGAGAACTCACACTGGTGAGACACCCCTTGAATGTAAACAATGTGGGAAAACATTCAGTTGGCCCATGTCCTTAAAAACACATATGGAAACACACTTAAGACCTCACAGTGGAGCGAAACCTTATGAATGTAAGGAATGTGGGAAAGCCTTCAATGTTCGCGCACACTTACGAAAGCATATGAGAATGCACACCAGAGGGGCCTATGAGTGTAAGGAATGTGGGAAAGCCTTCAGTTCTTCCACATACTTACAAGAACATATGAGAATGCACACTGGAGAGCCCTATGAATGTAAGGAATGTGGGAAAACCTTATGTTCTCCTGCATACTTACGAGAGCATATGAGAATCCACACTGGAGAGAAGCCCTATGAGTGTAAATACTGTACGAGAACCTTCACTTTTCACTCATCCTTTAAAACCCATGAGAAAATGCATACTGGAGAGAAACCCTATAAATGTAAGCAGTGTGGAAAGGCGTTCACGTGTGTCTCTCGCCTTTATAGACACAAGGAAACACACAGTGAACAGAAACCTTATGAATGTAAGCACTGTGGCAAAGGTTTCAGATGTCCCAAATACTTTAGGCAACATGTCAGCATGCACAGTGGGGAAAAACCCCTATGATTGTAAGGAATGTGGGAAAGTCTACAGTGTGCCTGCAAACCTTCGGCAACATATGATAACACACAGTGGTAAGAGACCTTATGAATGTCAACAATGTGGGAAAAACTTTATTTGGCCTACCTCTTTGCGAGTACATATGCAATCACATCACGCTCTGATGAGAAACCCTATGAATGTACAGAATGTGGGAAAGCCTACAAGTGCCCCAAATCTCTTAAATAACATATGAAAAACCTTTTTTTAAGACTACAAGGCATGTTGAAAAGCCTTCTTTTATCCTAAAAGCCTTGTAAAACACCCTGTACAAAACCCTTTTTTTTAATGTAAAGGATGTGGCAAGACCTTCAGGTATTGCTGTTTATATGTTGTATCCACAAAAAGTACCAAGAAGTTATTTCATTGCCTTTATAGACTCCTCGCCCTTATAAATCACTTCTGTAATAATTTAAAATTTGTTTCTAGTATAAGCATCTGAGATGATATATGCCCTTGTGTAGTGCCCCTGAGGAATGGACTGACAGTTTACTTCCAAAAAACGTAACCATCAAAATGTCTACAGAGTTCTACTCTAACACATGTGGATCTCTCTGTCTGAGCCAGAGTCAACTTGGGCTCAGAGTTGATTTTTATGCAACCTTTCAGGTATACCTCCTGTGTTATATAAAGCTTTAGTGTGCATGTGTATAAAACTTAACTTGTACAATACAGTATCTTTTGGATCCAGAAGTTTTGATTTTCTACGAATAACATTGTATTTTATAGGAAAAGCTTAATTCTAATATATGTTCTCTTGTGTTAAGGAGGTTCCGAGCACAGGTACCCCAGGTCCAAGTGGATCTGCATGTGGCACTCCTGGAGCTTATTTCTTGGTGATCGTAGATTTCCCTTTCTGCCTCTGGGATGGCTCATTTTAAGTATGGTAAATGGCCAAGCAGGCCCATCCAACAGTTAGGCTGGTATACACCTTATTTTCATCGTCCCACCTCCACAAGAGTACCATGTCATTTATTTGCATTAGTATCAAATTATCTAATTCCTGTATTGGTCCACAAGCACCTCATTTACATAGTCCTACCCTGTTGTTAAGAATCTCTGGTAGCACTGTGGGATAGGTATTAGAATGGTAAACATGGTGTTGGCAGTTGAAACCCACCATAGGAGGAAAATGAGGTTGTCTGACTATGTAGTGGAGTCAATTAATTAGAATCTACTTGATGGCTCTTCCCCTGTCCCCCTCCCCCCCATATTAACATTTGATAAGAATGAGAAAGACATTGGCTAGAAATACCATTTTAACTCTGCTGTATACTTTTGTTCCTGTAATAGTATTACAATTCCTTTATTCAACCCTGACAAAATTTAACCTGTCTCCAAATTGGGAAAAAACTGTGTTCTCTGAGGCTGTATTGACTAGGCATTTTTTGTTTCTGTTATTTCCAGCATTTAAATACATATAGTAAGTTGTGGGAGTTTTCTATAGTTGAGTCTCCTAAACATGGTTAATTAATTTCACTTTTACATATGATGGGTGGGTAGTTTTTTCAACCACTTACACCTGATTCTTCGCTATTAATTTTTGCTTTTAGTTACAGGTCTGTGTGAGTTGCTTAAAAAATTGTTAAATCCTGTTGTATATTGATAAATGTCATTTTTGTGTCATTGGGCCAATTCTGATGATGGACTGCTATGAATTCATCCTTGTAATTGTGGTTTTTTGGTATTGATTTACTATAAGAAAATAGTGCTAAATTCTACACATACCTTTTGACCTTTTTGTTTCTGCAACATTTTTATGGCTACCATCTTTAAAACAACTTTTATTTGTTGCTAACAATGAAAATCTAAATTTTATGTCAATGCCCTCTAGCCAAATAAAGAACATCAGAAACACACCTCCTATATCCATAATTGAGAGTCCCGACTTAATTGCAAAAGAGTAAGGATCACACACCATGAAATGACTCTGGTTTCTCATGAAAAGGGAGTTACAGCTTTGGGGAGTGTGTTTGTGAGTCTCAGAAGGTTTAAGGAAGCAGGGCTTTATACTGTGGAAGGGTGGATAGTTTCCAAGATTGGGAGCTTTGATTTCCATACACAACTGTGGAAATTGGTGGAAGCTAGAGCTGTTAGTGGAAAGCAGCATCAATGAGCCCTGGTGGCCAGGAGAAAAGGTCAGTTTTCTATGACTCTTGCTCAGTGGCTTTGTTTTTGTTATGACCCATCCTTGTCACAGAGTGGCAGAGTCTCATATTGTTGTTCCATGAAGTTATAGTCTAATCAACCGCATGTCACTGGTTTTTTTTTTAATCGTTTTATTAGGGGCTCATACAACTTTTATCACAATCCATACATACATCAATTGTGTAAAGCACATTTGTACATTCATTGCC